TGGTGGGTGATTACATTTGCTTAGTAATTTGCTGAGAATTTACTGACGGTGGCCTCTAGCCACTGCCGGTGATGGGTGGGGATGGTTCATAGCTAGTACCCTGTCTCTCAAAGGCAAAACACAAGTGTTTGGTGTGAAACCAGACACTAAACAGTCATGTTCGGAGATCCTGAGGCAAGGCGCGCGAGCCGAGACCTCCGGGAGCTCCAAACGAACACAAACATGGATAATCACCGAGCGTTCAAACGGTGACGTCCGAGTCTTGAGGACGGTCAAAAATGGGGTGTCTACAGTTGCCCCTCTTTGACAGAACTCGAAAGTCATAACAATGACGGGAGTGAATGTCAAAGCCCAGAGACGACCCATTTTTGACAAGGCCGAAGACTTAGACAAACATGCAAGACAAACAAGGTATGCGCCTGAAGGCAGGGTCAAAATGCAAGACAATGCACAGAGCCGGACATAACTTGTGATCATGCAAAGAAAACTGTAACGAAGCATAACATGCGACCGTTTTAAGCTAGCATACACCAAACTACATTACAATGCAGAAAGGATGTAAGAGAATTATGCAATTCTCAATACGTCTCACTCGGAGGATACAGTACCTGTCCGGTTCGTCTGGTTACACCAGTCTCAAATGAACCGTACATACAATATCGTGCCTACAAAGAAAGCAAACTTAACAGGTACAATATTGTTAGCAACATGCCTAATAATGCAATCGAAAGTGCGTGACAACGCAAGTCGAGTGGGGTGCATAACAATGCTGTGAAGGCACAAACACATATAAGTAAAGAGCACGTGACAACGTGCATAATGAATCATGATCCAATCATGAGCGGTTCGAAACCACACCTATGTCAAATAGATTGATGGAGGTAACAAGTCCATCTACCATAGAACGGTCTACTGAACTATGAGTAATGTAGACGGACATAAGCATAAGTATTGGGGGGGGATGACATAAGTGGGGAAACGACCCGCTGGAGAAAGGACTACGATCCTAATGCTGGATGCGACAATTACACTACAATGTAATGAAAATAATGGAGAAATGGCAACGGATATGGCACGCGGGCCAAACCAAACCAAGCCAGGTCTAACATAGAACGGTCCACTGAACTATGCTTCGACACGAGAAGTATGGGCACATACCGGACCAAGCTCAACATGGAAAGGCGCAAGCCAAAAATGGAAGCCATGCGTGCACCATTCTATTTTTGTGCACCCCGCGTGCACCGTTCTGCTACGGTGCGTCACGTGCCGTTCCACCTATTGTGTGCCACTTTCAGTCTGCTATTTTGGGTAAGTGGGGAAACGACCCGTCTGCTGACGTCATTCTACACAGCAACCCATTTCCCAGCTAATTTCGACCTTCCGGACTCACTGGTACGCTCTATTTTACCAAATTTTGCTCCAACAGGCCTGCTCCTAAATATTTAGTCCTACTTCACTTTTAATATGGATCGCCATGATGCCTCCGATCCAATTTTTGTTCTCTTAATGGTTCCAATGATTTATTGTGGGCCTAAGCCATGTCTTCCTCCCTTAAAGGACGAAAACTTAGGCGTATTATCACCGAGGATGTGACCAAATCGGTCAAAGAGGTCGCCGAATCTACTACCACATATACAGATCGACTTGAAGATTGGGACAGTAAAAATTACCAGATCATTACTTGGCCTTGGAATACTTCTGTTCCCTCTATTAGTCTTCAGTTTGGCCGTTTTCAACTTGACTCGATTTCCAATCCTGCTAAAGACATTTGGGGTTTTTTGAGAGATCGATACAAAACTACCGATCTTGCCCATCAGTATCAACTTCAGAGTTAACTTCACTCATCTGCCGAGAATCCAGTCAGTCTATTAATGACTTTCTATCTCAAATGTATTATGTTTGGGACCAGCTTTCTCTCTTAGAACTGACATGGCCTCACCAAGAAGATGCTGTCTTATTCACTACCTATCGTAATCAGCAGTGGTTGGTCCACTTTCTCATGGCTCTCACTCATTCTTTTGAGCGCCGTGCGTGCCCTTCTTCCACATCGCTTTCCATTGCCCACCTCTGAACATGCTATTTCTAAGATGTTATCTAAGGAGATTCGTCTTGGCACTCTCCAAACTCATCATGTGGACTCTGTTCTTCCCAGTCCTCAGTTACATCCCTCACCGACCCAACGGACCACTGCTTGCCTCTATTGTCAGAATCGGGGCCTTCCTTCGACTCATCTTTTGGTTCATTGCCCTGTTCAATCTTGCCATTGTTGCAACAAACTTGGTCCTGGTCATCTGCAGCAGGATTGTTTTCGCAATCCATCCAGGTCATCTTCCACTAGC